TTATTGTAGAGATGAAGTCTTGCCAAGCTGCCCAGGTTGTTCTCAAACCCGTGGGCTCAGGCAATCTTCTCACCTGGGCCTCCCAAACTATTTTACTTCTTTATTTGGTTAGACTTCTCCTGAACACATGCTGGAGTTGCTGGCTATTTTGACAATTATTAATTTAATTGCCAGTTTTTTGTAGTCTCCTAAATGTCAGTGGTCTCCAATGTTTTGTCCTTGAAACTTTTTTCCTCTTCTTTTTATACACTTTCTCCAGATTATCTTGTTAACTCTCCAATAACATCTGCTATCCAAAGGCATTTCTCAACCTCCTTCTCAAACCACAAAGCTGTATTTATTAATACTTGTGGAACTTACATGGGTAGCCTCCAAATTCTTTACTCCTTATTCGATCAAAGTAAACTCATTATTTCCAAAAGCTAAACTCTTTTTCATCTCTATTAGTCTCGGTTTCATTATCAACCATACAATCCTAAGACCTAAAATATTATCATCATTAGCAATCAGTTTTAAAAACTCAAACATTTCGTATCATTGCTACTCTACTACCCAATTCCCTTTCTCCCAAATCTAAAATGTACCAAATTGGGATGCTTCTTATTCAGTAATATCTGCTAGATTCACTTTCTTTTTTATTTCCAGGTCTCATTAGCCTATTATTTTTCTCATCATTTCTCATTTAGACTTTTTAATAAACTTCTACATAAATTTCCTGCTATGAAATTTTCTCTATGCCCTCACTTAAATAGAAAAATAACACTTAATACCTCTTTAGCTTTACCACCTCATTCATGGTAATATTCAACTTCTCTGCTTGGTAAAGCCTTTTTCCACCTGTGCCCAGTTTAACTTTCTTATATTTTTATAAGCTCACGTCCATATAATTTCAATCATGTTAAAAAGTTACACTATTCTTCAAGGATCACATATTCTTTGACCACACAATATCTGTATTTAGTATATTTATTTTTTTGTTTGTAAAACCTTCTCCACAGTCTCTTGATTATATGCTAGCAGTTTTTCAAGATCCAACCAGTTACCTTCTCAGTGAAACAATGAAGCATGTACTAGCTTTGGAGTCCAGCAAATCTAGCTTTGTATCCTACTTCCTATTCTACTCCTTCTGAAATCCTGTGCAATATGTAACTTTAGTTGTTCTTATGGGAGAAATGGGAAGGGTTATACTTATTTAATATGGTTATTAAAATATTAAATCAGATGCTAAATATAACTTGCTTAGTAAAGACTCTGAAGCCCAGGAAACAATAAAACTTAGTTGTCAGTAATGGTTGTAGTAGATCAACTATAGTAGTAATCATAAAATAGACATTTCCAAGAAGAGTTTACAGCTTTTTGTATGTGACTTGAGGACATTTTATGTCTCAGAATTTACTTGACAAGTTATATTGTATGTTTTCTGTATCTATGTCACCATCCCTCTACAAACATCTACTGTCTTCTGAGAGTAAAGGGTTTAAATATTTTACTTATTTTTGTCTCCAGCTAACATAGGACCAAGCACTACATAGTTGCTTATTAAATGTCTCCTGTATAAATCACAATAGGGCATTCTCTCTATTTAATAGTGAAAAGGAGAACAATTGTCATATTAAGAATGGTTATTTTAACCTGTCATAAATCTATAAATCACTAATACTAATGAAAACTTACTTTATGAATAATGAATTGCACATTTTCTTATCTCATTTAATGCACACAACCCTTTTAAATATTATTAAACACATTTTGCAGTTAAGCAAATTAATATAGGACTCAAGTCTTTTGCTCCGTTGACACATGAAATAATTGATGACAAGCTTATAATAAAGCACAAGGAGATTTTCCTTCTATAATATAAATTAGATTTCTATCTATAATAGCATATGATTTACTCAGTCATTTTTTTCAGTGATCTAACACATTAACTCAGCAATATTTTCAGTTATTTAACACATTTATTGAGTATGCCATTTTCAGCATTTTGCTGTGTGACAAAATAAGTCAGTGAATAAGAAAGACAGTGGGAGCCCACGGGTTCAAGACCCGCCTGGGCAGCAAGACCTCATCTCTACAACAAATCAAAAAATCAGCCAGGCGTGGTAGCGCATGCCTGTAATTCCGGCTACTCGGAAGGCTGAGGCGGAAGAATCGCCAGAGCCCAGCAGGTGAGGCTGCGGTTGCCGGGAGCGGCCACTGCACTCCAGTCTGGGCGACCAAGTGAGACTCCAACTCAAAAAAACAAAAATTTAAAAAAAAAAAGAAAGACAGTGGGCACAGCCTTCTGTAGCTTTAAGACCAGAGGATTGTTTGTGTGTATGTGTATGTGTATGTGTGTGTGTGTGTGTGTGTGTGTGTGTGTGTGTGTGTGTGTGTCATAAACACTAGTAACATTGCTATAGCAGTGCATAAGCTTTGAAAGCAGTGCTTCACATAGGGTCAGATTTTAGCAAGAATCTAAAAGGGAACTAAAGACAAAAAAGAGAGTAAACTGATTTTCAAGGCCTAGTAATTTTTTAACACTACAAGAGAAGTTTGCATATTTTATCACACTATACCTTTTGAAATTTCACAAAATCTCAATTTAATGAGGAAACTAAAATCCAATGAGCTAAAACATTTGTCTTATCAACACAACTAATAAATAAAATATCCAGGATTGAAATTTAGTATTGCATGCTTTTGAAAGATCATAACCTCTCAGACTTTCAATGACCCATGGTCGTATCTTGATCTCAACATGTACCCAGAAAGAATAAACATCCTCCAAAACCTACATTATTATTTAAACTCTGCCTCTCTGTTTTTAGGGAGCATCATGTAGTAGGTGTAGAAGTCACCTTTGGAAAAGTTATTTGCTAGGAGGTGGGGAGATATATGTCAGACTTTCTTCTGGGAAAATACAGAACCCCTACAAAGCTTTAAAAAATTTAGAAAATATTAGTAGATTTTTAATAACACTAACAATTACTATAAATCTATACTTCTCTTTTTTATTTTAATGCATCTTTAAAATCACCAAAGATTTGATGACAAAATATAATGGCTCAGGAATGTTGATTAGCTTAAAAAGTACCTATCCTAGCAACACTTAAGAAAAAATGGACTGTAACCATGCATGACACTCTTCCCTACTTTAAATGATATCAAATATGGCTCAGAAAAGACTTGAGATTTTATCAAAATTCACCAGTGGCTAAGGATTCTGTCATCATAAATTAGATTAGCATTCTCTAAAAAGATACATGTATTAACATGTCAAAATCCACCTGACAGTCTCTCCCACTTTATATTTAAGTTCCTTCTCCTTCCAACCAACTTCATTAAGGATAATACAGTCAATGTATTAGAAGTTTTTTCTATTCTCTTTCCACTTCTTAATCTAATGACTGGAGAGTACTAGGTACTCAAATGCCTACAATATTGAGTTGAAATAAAACACCTTTCTAAATTTAACTACATCCTATGCAGACAATTATGTTCTGTGAATAGACATTATATAATTAAATCTAAATGTAAATCAATTTATTCTCCAAATTTTAATGAAATTTGTTTTACTTCATTTTTTCCCAAACAAATATAAAATTTAATACTTAAAATATATGTGATAAATGACTGAGTGTGGTGGCTCATTCCTGTAATCCTAGTACTTTGGGGAGCAGAAGTGGGAAGATCGTTTGAGCCTAGGAGTTCAAGACTAGCCTGGGCAGCATAGTTAGCCTCTCTACAAAAAAATTTTTAAAACCAAAAAATTAGCCAGATATGGTGGTGCATGCCTGTATTCCCAGTTACTCAGGAGACTCAGGCAGAAGGATTGCCTGAGCCCAGGTTGAGTCCGCAGTGAGCTGTGATTATGCCACCATACTCCGTACTGGGCAACAGAGTAAGGCCCTGACTCAAAAAATAAAAAGTAAATAAATAAAAAAAATTTAAATATATATTGTGATAAGTATGTTTAATATTTTGTGTTGTGCAAGTAGATGAAATGACTGACTCAAGATACTAAGTATATTGATACAATTAGAAAATAAAAATGTCTAACCTCAAAGTCTCTTTTCTATTTTCTAGGCATTACTATAGTACAATTAAATCATTAAAAACAATAAAACCCTAAAATAAAACTACTTATTCTATTTACTTTAGTTTAATATATGAATACAAAGCTGTGATATTGGCATCTCACACCTTTCTTTTTACTGTCTTAAATGATTCACAAGAAACTAAAATACTAATGTGGGTTCCTGTTTTTACTAGATATGTAGTATACAACAAAATTGTGTTTATGTATATCTAAAGTACTTTAGTTTCCTCAACAAATGACTCTATAAGTATTTGCATGATAACTTTTAATTCCAACTGGACTATAGTGGGTAAGAGATAAAAAACAGAACAAATTATAACTGCATAGGGTGTTTATATTTTAGGTTCAAGAACAAAAGTCACATAAAAACATTTGAGAAAAATACATATAATTATGTATGTTATGCTATTTAAGCATTACTGTAGACTGATGAAAGAGATCCATTTGTTTTAGAATAATGAAATTTCTAAGAAAAAGATCTAGAATGTGCAACAAGTGATAGATACTGTTAAAAGGCAATAGCATAATTGGTTTAAAATTGAGAAAACATTAAAATGAAAATTGCAGTATTTTAAGGAACTACAAACATTATCTTGACAAAAGCATGGGAGAATAATTCTGGACTTAATAAATTGAGAAAAAAAATGTAGGGTGTCAAGAGCCTCTTGGGGCCAGCAAAAGTTTATTATTGATGTGAACTGCGAGATATGGTTATACACATTTTGTGCAAGTAAAATGTTTGGAGCTCTATCATTTTCTGAAATTGTTGATATTTTACTACAAAACAACTTGACATTCCATTCTCTCCATCACGTATCTCTAGTCATGATCTTATGACTAGAAGACTTTTTGTCTTTCCTTAGTAAGTCTTCCAACTTGTTAATAGATTGGTAACTTTTGATATCTTTCTTGATTACAGCCAAAAGTGACTTTTCACCAAAGTATAGATTTGAGAGATGCCAAAAAGTGAGAGGAATATGCAAAACATTTTGTGATGATGATGAGTATGATTATGGATACTGCATTAAATGGAGAAATCAATGCTGCATTTAAACTCTGGAAAAAAGAAATACTGTTGAGCACCAAATCTGGAACAGAGATGCATCTTATTTACTCAAGAGTAGGCCAAAAAAAGTTTGTAAAATTTAATAGAAATATGCACTTTTAAATCCTAAATATATCTACTTACATACAGAAAAATCAGACTCGACTTTATTCATTGGGGATGTTTGTATTTCAGATAAATGAAGACGTCACTCAAGCAAGGGAACAGTCTCTAATTAGGCTTATAATTTCATTGATACTTTGCCACCCAGGCTATAGTACCACTTATCTGAGTTGCTCTGCTCTTTCTCTAAGTATATGTATGTGACCTTATTGTCACCTGTATTATGAGGATCATGGTTATCTTCATATATCCTTATTTTCACACCAAAATTTCTCTATATATGTAGCCATCGAATGTTTTTTCTCTCTTTCAAATGCAAGACCCACCAATCTTGAGTTATCTGAAGATTTTTTGTATATACAAAAATACTTAACGAATTACTGTACTTTTGAGATGCCATAAATTTGTGTTCTATCAGTAGGGTAATTAAGTACTATTTATAGCACAGCAATAGATAAATAAATACATAGCAAGGTTTGAGAGATAAAACTCTTTTTAGCCATGCAATTTTTTATTCAAAGAAAATTCCTTAAAGAAGCTTTGAAATGAGTAGTCTTGTCCCAGTAATATAGGACAGGTATATGGTTAGCACAATCTTCTGCCCTTAGAAAATGTGTCTAACGAAGCAATGGTCAATTCAGTTGGGTTAAGCATTGGAATTGCATAGTTATGGAGAGTTTTGGTAATGAAGCTCAATTACTCAATGAGTAAACCTGACCCACTACTTCGAACTCATGTCTCCAAGATCCATCATGAACTCTAACAGTTAGTTGTGGCTAAGAGGGAAATTTTAGATCTATTTGTAGGCGTGACTTCAATTTTCAGAAAAGCTTTCACGATTGTGCAGCTGATGCCCATATGGAGAATTTGGGAAATGTCATGGTGAGACTGGGAAAAATAAAGTCACCTGAAAAGCAAAGATCTTGTGGCAGCAAAGCCAAGGATTCCCTTGGATTATTATCTACCCTAAAAATTGTCACTGAGGAAAGATGGTTTTTGCATTTCCAGAAGCTGTGCTACTGCACGGATCAGGGATGGGGAAATGGCATTTAGTTTAACAAAACATTATTGTTATTATAACATATATCCATGTGCTTGAAAGTATTTAGACTATTTTACCCAAAGTATTTATGTTGAATATCTTACACAGATATTGGAAGATAAAATTCCATATAATCAAGACAAGCAATGAATTTCTAGACTAATAGGTCTAGAGAAAAATATTATATTGAAAATACAATGATCTTTCTCTATCAGCCCTTTGAAGATAACACTATTTAACCAAGCATAGAGCTCTTTTTAATCCCTAATAATTCCCAGAGAGTCTTCTGTTCCCTCTTTTCAACACCACTTTACATGAAAAGAAGTAGCTTTAAGCCGGGCTCGGTGGCTCAACCTGTAATCCTGCGCCTTTGGGAGGCTGAGGTGAGTGGATTGCCTGAGCCCGCGGGTTCAAGACCTGCCTAGGCAGTGAGACCTCATCTCTACAATAAATCAAAAAAATCAGCTGGGCATGGTAGCGCATGCCTGTAATCCCGGTTACTCAAAAGGCTGAGGCGGAAGGATCGCCGGAGCCCAGCAGGTCGAGGCTGTGGTGGCCGGGAGCGGCCACTGCACTCCAGTCTGGGCGACAGAGTGAGACTCCAACTCAAAAAAAAAAAAAAAAGAAAAGAAAAGAAATAGCTTTTAATTCCTCTCTATTAAGAAATTGTTTGCCACGAAGTTTCTTTTTCTTTTTCTTTTTTTTAAAATTTATTCTGTTCTCTTTTAAGATCAGAATTCCACCAGGTTATACAAACTTTTTTTATAGGGTTACTTATATTGCTGAATTTTTAAAAAATCACTTTTTTGTTTTGTGACAAGATAATGATAGTACGGTAGGCATTAAAGGATCATTGCATTAATCACTTCACCCTCCTTTATATGAATAAAACTGTGGAATTATTTAGAGTGTAATCTTGCTGGACACTGTACACTTTTGGAGAAATATTTGAATAGTTTTCAGAAACATAAACTTATCCATGGTGATAGTTTACGGTTAGAGAAAGATCTATTTACTTTTTCTTATCTTTAGACTTATCATCAATGAACTAATTTCCATTAAGAATACGACCTTATCCAGTTCACCACTGATGGGCAAAAGGATTGGTTCCATGTTTTTGCTATTGTCATTACTGTGATAAACATATGATTACAGATGTCTTTTTGGTAGAGTGATTTGTGCTCCTTTGGGTATATACTCAGTAGTTGGATTGTTGGGCTGAAAAGTAAATCCATTTTTAGTTCTTTGGTTAATTTACAATCTATTTCCACATGACTGAACTTCCTTACAATCCCACCAGCAGCAACATGAATGCAGTTGGAGACCATCATCCCATCCTAATCGAATTATCACAGGCACAAAAACCAGAATTCCTCATGTTCTCCCTAATAAGTTCAGTGTTCAGCTAAACACTGAACACAGGTGGGCACAAGGATGGGAACAACAGATACTGGGATACTCCTAAAGTTGGGGGGAGGGATGGGGACAAAGGCTGAAAAACTCCCCACTGAGTACCATGCTCACTACCTGGATGATGGGATCAGAAAGAAGCCCAAGCCTCACCATCATGCAATATAGCTATGTAATAAACCTGTACAGGTACCCCTTGAATCTAAAAATTTTTTTAATTAAAAAAAAAAAAAGAATACGACCTTAGGATTCTCTTCTCAGTACTGCACGCATGTCATATTCATTTAAGTATGACTTGTATTACCTTTTCAACTATAAGGGAAACTGAATATTGAGTGTACTATATTGTATAAGAGCTATTCTTTAGTAAGATTTCTTTACCTAGAAAGTGTAAATGACTGGACATGGTAGCTCACACTTGTAATCCCGGCATTTAGGGAAGCAGACATGAGAGGATTGCCTGAGCCCAGGGGTTTGAGAGAAGACTGAAAAACTTGGCAAGACCTCATCATCACAATAAATCAAAAAATTAGCCAAGCCTGTGGTGCACACCTGTAGTTCAAGCTCTTTGGAAGGCTGAAGTGGAAGGATCACCTGAGCCCAGCAGGTCGAGGCTGCAGTGGCCCTGAGCATGCCACTACACTCCAGCCTGGGTAACAAAGTGAGACTCTGACTTAGAGAGAAGGAAAGATGAAAGAAAGAAAGAAAGAAAGAAAGAAAGAAAGAAAGAAAGAAAGAAAGAAAGAAAGAAAGAAAGAATCATTAAATGAATTACGAATGATGTTACTAGATATGCTTTTCAAGAATCAGTGCTTAGATACTGAAGTAACTTTTTACTTAATTTTTTTTTTTGCTGAAATTGATTACACATACTCCCTGATGTGTGCCTATAATAACACTTGCTCCTTGAAAAATCCCTGAAACATGGTATATACCCAATAAATAACTGTTAAATAATTTTACTAAGGGATATATTGATTTTCCTCCAACTGGTCTTAAATTCTGTCTTTTTCTTTATCAGCAAATATATATAATTAATAAAACTTTTCACATTTGCCAAAGTATTATTTGCTTTTCATTTTTATTTTTTAGGTTACAGATCTGTGGTTAAAAAATCCTTAGGCAAGTTATTTCATCACTTTAGAGCTCACTTTATTAACCTATAGCTTGAGGATTAGATTTGATTTCATAAGTATTCTCTTATGTTTAATCATCAATGACTGTGATTTTTAAAAAATGTTACTGTGTAGCAGTGATCCGTAAACTAAAATCCACAAGCCAAATTTGGTTCTCCTTCTATATTAACTGTTAAGAATGGTAAAAATGGTATTCACAAATAATTTGTAATTGATTTAATTATAGAAAGCAGTAAATTTGAACCTCAATTAAGCAAATTATTAAATGCAAATTGTTCTCACTAATAGGCCACTATTTAAAAAACAAAAATAAAAACATGTGAACCATCATTATTACTATATACTAATTTTTGTCAATTAAAATTTTGCAGAAATTTATCTTCTTCCTTTTATTTAAAACTCTATGTAGCATCCTCAGTATTTCATCTTGGATGGCAAAGCCTGAAATAATTGCCCTAGACAGAAAACATTTACTGATCTCTATATAGATAGAATAAGTCGTTTTTAAGAGCAAAATGTGATCACTGAAGCAGTATCTTTCACATTACCTGAGAACTTGTTAGAAATGGAAATTCTCAGAGCTCAGATTCACCAAATGTAAATCTCTGAAGGTGAGTTTTAGCAATCTATGTTTTGCCTGTCCTCCAGTTGATTAAAATACACAGAAGTTTGCTAAACATTGCCTAGAACAACTCTTAACCTTTGAATTTTTTGAAGCAAATTCTTTAATTTTTTAAAGAACTTGAACCTAACTACTAAAGATCCCTTGGCATTACCAACAAAATATACTCAATTAGTAAAAGAAAGATGCCAAGTCCCATGCATCTTTCTTTGGAAAAGATAAGTACTTAAGAAAGATGTTAAAAGACATTTCTAAATAAAGCAATTAGAATTTTGTCTTGGATATTAGAGTTCATCAACAGGTGTTCTTGGAACTAAATCAAGTCAAAATTAAGACCACCATTATGTATCTTTTCTTCTGATTCCTCAGTTAGTTTTTTTTTTTTTCATTAATCAGTATTTTTTATTATGGTTTTGTGGGGTACAGTTAAGGGTTAGGTGTACCATGACGTTTCATTCAGGCACCCTGTAGATAAGAAGTGTTTTCCCATCCCCCAACAGATATTTGCTACTGTTAATCCCATCCCCCTCCCCCCCATAGTTTCCCAGTACCATCCGTCATTTTCTCATAGTATTGCATTGGATGTTGAAGGTCCATTATATGAGTGAGAACATGTGATATTCGGATTTTTGTTTG